CAAATTTGCCTGTATCAACCTTTCTGAAAGTGAAGCCTGTCAGAATTGTCTGCAGGTTGAGTCACTTTCAGAAGAGAGGTAAAATTGGGTTGTTGTAGGGAATCCAGAGTCTGAGGAGTTGCTCTCCTTGCTAACCTCTGCTCCTTGTGCACTTTTAATCTTTGTTCTGTTGAAGAAACCAACATACTTGGAACTAGTTTGAAACTTGAAGTCAGTGAGCAGAGGACCATCCCTTTTCCTTGCACCATTCCATGTGGATTGGCTACCTGGTGAGCAAAAGCCCCTTCCAGCTGCAGCGTGTCAGCTCCTGCCCTTCCTGCCTCCCCCTTCTCCTCGAGTTGGATTCTTTGGTCTCTTGTTGTTGCTTCCTAGCAATGTTGGCCTTGCGTTCAACTATGGTTTTTCTTCATGTGTTTTATTGGTTTAAATAAAAAAAAAAAGGACAAAAAAATAATTAAAAAAGCAAAAAAAAAAGGCAAAAAAAAATTACTTCCGGAGTGTGCTGACCATTGTATTGTCCTGTACAGAGCCCAGGTCGTTAGAGTCCAGCAGAGATAAAGTGTGTTATGCAGCACCCAGTTTTTTAAGAGTATGGTTTGTGCCAATGCCCCTTCTTTAGTAGTGCCAGAGACTCTTTACAAGTGCCAATGTGGTGGAAATTATTTGGTTATACTTGTATATTATAGGATCCTGATTTAAGACAATTTAAACATTATCCTATTTAAAAAGAATACTATATAAAATGCTGTTTTTAAACCTTGTCATTTGCAATGCATGTATTGTTGTGCGTGTTGGGGGGCGGGGAGGGAAGAGGGTAGGGTAAAGGAGTTTCTGAATAAGATGCCCAGTGTCAGGATCTATTCAGACTCCAAACTGTCTCATTCCAGTCCAGGAGTGTGATTGTTTCTTGGAATGATCCCACTCTGACTGCTGGGCAACACGCTTATTACAGAAATATCTGATGGAAATTGATTTTCATATCTTTCTCCTAAAATAAACTCTCTGTTTGAAATTGGAATAAATTTTGTTCCTAAAAGCTGTGGTGGTTGTGTGTGTGTTTCTTCTCTTCCTCCTTGGTACCCTGTGGGATCTGCAGCTCTGCCTCCTGTCAGAAAATGAGGATTCTGAGGCATGGAAATAAAGCATGTTTTGGTAAATAAAAGGCGTAATAGACCATAATTCTATATAATACACTGTACCATTAATTCTGAAATGTGAACAGTGTCTGACTGGGGGTTTAAGGTGCAGGGGTGCAATGGTTACATCTTGATTTGAAGTTTTCCAGGATTTTGGGGTAGGATTGCTGAGGGAAGTTGTTGGTGTTTGCTGCTGCCTCTTGCTGTGGTGTCAGCCCGCTGCAGGCACAATTCCAAGCAGGATATCTGTTGCCAATAGCAGGAATGTTGGTGGGACCAGAACTGCTTCCAGTCTTGTCTGTTAGAAACGTGGACTGAAATATGAAACACGGCTTAAAATCATCCCTGAAGGAGTCCAGGGCTGGATGACTGTGAAAACTTCCACAAAGAGATTTCCTGAGATGGAGTTTATAGAGCTTAATTCCTTTTCTCTGGGCTCATTCTCCAGGAATGTTGCATTAAATCAGCTGGGAGTGGGTAGAGATGGCCAATTTCCTCTATGTAAAGGTTTCCTGTGTTTTCAGGAAGCTGCAACTGAGGATGTTCTGCTCCCTCCAAGGTCACTTCTCACAGGTGAAGCTGCAGCTCCTGGGCAGCCTGAAACATTTTCTTGGCTCCCACCAGGAAGGGAACAGTGGTGTTGTGGCCAGAGCGCTGGCAAGGACTTAAATTATCACTTTTTTAATTTTGAATGAGTTTTTGTTTCTTTTCTCAGAGGCTCTGTCCCCTCACCAGCTGGGGAGCAGAGTCAGTGTTGTCTCCTCAGTCACGTCTTGTGCTGTTCTCTGCAAAGAGCCAAACGTGCTGTGTTTAAATAAAGCAAAGCAACAAGTTGAGGCTCTCCAAGGAAAAAGATGAAGCCTTTAACACCCAGGATTTCCAGCTGGCTGTAAAGACCTGGTGTTTTGGCCTTTTGCAGCCTCCAGGTGTGCGTGGGGCTGTCCCTGGAGCAGCCCAGGGAAGGAGGCAGCTGTTGGCAGCAGCCCGTGAGCAGCAGGCTCACACTTGCTGCTTTCCCAAGGACCACTCCAGCCCTGATGCCTCGTGAAGGCTGACCTAGAACAGCTAAAGAATAAAGTAGGGATTTATTAGGAGGCCTCAAATAGATCCAGCTTGGGCAGCACAACCCAAAATGGTCACAAAATGCACAACTGCTCACAGGGTCTCTCGCTTTTATAAGTTCTGCTCCATTTGCATATTGGAGTTAATTGTCTAAATCCGGCTTTAAGAAGTCCCATCCTTATTTTCTCTCTTCATTGCACGTTGTTTGTGCTCTTGGGCTGAGATTTGGATCACTTGTCCTTGGTCCTCAGCTGGAGAAGGAATTGTTTTGTCTCCCTACTCTGTGCCCATCCCCTCACCATCCCCTAATGTGAGGCCCAGACCCACACACTAAAGCAGCACAGAAGCTGAAAATTATAAAAACTCAAGCCTGAGGCATCAGCCTGGGCTGGAAAAAGCTTTCCCAGAGAGCTCAGAGAGCTCCTCCTCACCTCCAGCTCCACAGCTGGGGCCAGAAGCTTTCAGCTCCTCCCGCGCCCATCCTACAAGGAGAGGTCCTGGGAACATGGGAGGCTGTGTCATGAGGCCACCTCCACTGCCTGGAGAATTCCTTTGGCCTCCAGCCTGTTCCAGAGGGAGGGACTGGGTAAAAAGGGCTGCCAGGGCTGGGCTGTGGGCCAGGGGAGTGTCCTGATAAGGTGAGCTGGCCCAGGGACTGGGCTTGTGGCAGTGCTGCAAATCACTTTAAACCTGGCCACTGGATGTCCCTGCCAAGAGCAAAGCAGGTCCTTGGGGTTGTGCACATGGGTAAAGCAGACATGAAGGAAATAAATTTTCATCATAAAAAAAAAAAAAAAAATCCCATGCTCAAGAAAAGGGCAAAGAAGAGAGAGTTTGGGATTTGCCTTGTCCTTGGACAACCATCATCCTCCCAGCAGGAGGAAGCTCTTTCCTTTGAGCATTCCCTTTGCCCTCTGGGGAAGAGAGGGAAGGATCTGTCCAGCATAAGAGTAAAATGTCATGTGGAATTTAAAATCAGGAATAGAAAGCCTCCCTCCTGTGCCTCAGGTTTCTCCCCTGTGTTACCCTGATCCCACACAGGGCTCTGAAGTTGATGTGCAGCTCAGGAGCAGCTTGGCCTGTGGAATGGCAGCTGCTCTTGGAACATTTCTGCCAAGAGCTTCTTGAGCCCTGGGCTCAGCAAGGGCTTGTCCTACCCCAAGCTGTTTCCTGTGTGCTCTCCCAGTGACACCAGTTTGGTATAATTGTCCTCAAGCTGCTTTATCTCCTGCCATGCAGCCTGACCAGGAAGCAATTTTTTTTTTTTTTCCTGACCTCCACAAGCAATTTTTGTACCATCTCCACCACCGTGGGTGGAGAACTCATGGCTTTTGAGGAGTTTTTGTGGCTGGACTGTGACAAAGACGCCTCACTTGGGCTGTGTGGAGCTTCTGGGTGAGGATGTGGCTTGTCAGGGAGCTCAGCTGCTGCCCAGGGCTGTTTTTGTCCTGTGCTCTGCTCCCAGAGCTGCTCTTGCTGTCATCTCAGGTGAGGATCTGTAGCTCCTGGCCATGGAAATAAATGGATTTTTAAATGGAGCTCCCCAAAGACAGGTCTCTCCTGCTCTGCTGGTTCCCTCCCAGTGACTCAGGCCTTTGGTCTCCAGCTCCCCAGAAGGTGACAGGCTCTTTGCACAGGATGAGAGCTGGGAAATCCTTCTGGGCAGGATTTGGCAGCCTCAACAGAAAAGAAATCTCTGCTCAATGTCAGCTTTGCAACCCTTGATTCAGACCAGATTAAATGATGTCAAGAACCCTGGGGCAAAGAGGTGCCTCTCCTCAGCTCAGCCATGAATTTGCTTCCAAACTGCACAAGGTAAATTTTATTGGGTCAGTTTGGAAGTTGTTTAGAGACAGAACCTTGAAGAACACACCCTGTTGCCAACCCAAAGAGGGCACTCTGGGCATGGAAAACTCAGCAGAAATGTGCTAGAGGTGCTTTCCTTGAGCAACATCACCCACAGCAAAAACCACTGATAACGCTGCTCAGCTGCAGCTTTTCTTAGTCAGGTGAGTGACCTGGGGACTTTTAGACATTTTGAATTATAAGGTTTGGAAAATATTTGGAGTCTTCACATCTTTGTCCTTGTGTTTTTTATCCAGTGCTGCCACAGATGTTGGAATGGCCTCTGACAAGTCCCCTTTGGGCAGAGGTGAGCACAAGGAAAGGCAAACACTCCCCAGAAATGTGTTTTTGCAAATGAAATCCTAAACATCTGACGGAAGTGTTTGAGCTCCTCTTGCTGGGTCTCTTGCCAAATCTCCAGATTAATTTCCTCAGGTTGCAATATTTTTAAGCTCTATTGTAGAAAAGGCAGGGGCTTATATTTTTGTCTTAAACCACAACACGTAGAAATAAAATATTTACTGACTGTCAGGCTGTGGTGGGACTGTGTGGTTCCTCTCTTCGCTGCCAGCTTCACTGAAAAGATGACTCAGAGTGCCTCACTGAACACTGTGAGTGACAGAAATGCACTGGGGGAAGATGCTGGTTTTGTGTGGAATGGCAGCCAGAGGTGGGATGGGATAGAACTGAGAGGGGCCCATGGGGGAGAGAATGTGATGGAGAGAGGAAATCCCCTCCAAGGACCAGCTCAGAGGTCCCTGGAGGGACTGAGGAGAGCCCCTGGCCTGAAATCCAGGCTGGACATCTCTTCTGGAGATTCAGAGGGCAGAAAATGGAAGCTATTTCCAAACCTCCAGCTTGGGATTCAGCTCTTGGAGCTGTGGCTTTCTCCAGAGCTGTTCAGGACCGAGCCAGTGGCCCAGAGAAATCCAAATAGCACCAGAAAAAAGGCTTTCAAATGCTGATGAGATTTATTGCTTTCACGTGTTCTTACAACACCGGAGCTACAGAAGAGGGGAGCAAGGAGGCAGCAGGTTTCAGAGGCAGGGACAGCAGCAGTGAAGTAGGAACTGGAAGTGTTCTCCTTGGAGCCTGGGCAGCCCAGGGCTAGGGCAGAGGACAGCCAGACATGCCACAAATGACAGGCTGCTCTTTGGATGCCTCTGATCTCCTTGTGCAGCCTCCCCCTGAGGGTTCCAGGCATCCCCTCAGCTGCTGGCACCTCTCTGGGGCTGTCCTGCTGCCTCCTCTGCGGAGCTGCAGCCACGAAGGGCAGAGCAGGGCAGCAGTGAAGGAGCCCAGAAGTCCTTGCCACATCCACGGGGAGCAGTGGCAGATGTTTCCCAGGAGAAAGGAAAGGAAAGCTGGTGAGGACAGGGCTCTGGAGGCTGAGCTCAGCGCAGGGGGAGCAGGGTCATGAGGACTTCATGACACTGTGGACCCAGGGGAGGTAAGGAGCAATGTGGGTGTAGAAGCCAGGCCAGTTGTTGTGCCTGTAGGAGAAGATGCCAAAGGCTTTGTTGTTGCAGACCAGAGGATCCCCAGCATCACCCTGTGAAAAGGAGGAGAGGGATCAGTGCTGGGTGATGGGAACTCCAGGGAAGGAGTGCCTCTGCAAGGAAGAGAGGCTGCAAACTGCAGGGCAGGATTTCCCCAGCAGGAGCCTGGGCTCGCAGTGGATGGGGATAACTCTGCCTCCACACGGGGGTGGTGACAGCTTTGTTTGGGATGCAGCTGGGGGAACACTGCAGCTTTATTTCTACAAAACACACTCAGACCAACAGTGAGACTCAGGGTGAACCCCTCTGGCCAAACCATTATCCCCCTGTGCTGGAACTCCCAGGTCCTGTGCCATGGGAACAAGGATCCTCTTCTCCTTGTGCTTTGCCCTTGGCTAAAACCTCCCCCTCCTCCTCCTCCTCCTCTTCCTCCTCCTCCCTGAGCAGACTGACCTTTATGGGCACCACGGAGGATCTGCTGAGGCCACAGACCAAGTTGTCAGCCAGCCCTGGGTAGTGGCTGAGGCAGTCCCTTTGTTTGAGGATGGTCACAGTGGCTGTCCTGTAGCCCCAGCCGGCCACGCTGCACTCGGTGCCACCCCGAACTTTGGATTTCTCAAAGGAAATGGGCCTGACCTGCCCATTGCTGGTGGCATTGCCATTCAGCTGAGTGAGGGGACAGAAACCACAGGGATGAGTGTTGGCCCTGAAATGCCCTGACCCCTTCCCAGCCCTGCACATCAGCCAGGTTACCTTCAGCAGGAGGATGTCATTGCCCTTCTTAGGGCTGCTGAAGCCCGGGTGGCAGTGGTACTCCTTGACCTGGAAGCTTTGCCAGCTCTCCTCTCTCTGTTGCAGCTCCTGGGCTCCCAGGATGACAGTCAGAGGTTTGTGCCTGGTGAAATCAAGCCCAGGGGTGTCACCAGCTTGTCCCTGTCTCTCAGTGCCTGGGAGCGCCGAGGCTCATCTCCCAGGGCATGGCCAGCAGAGTGCAGTTACACAATACAGAGTATATTTGTATCCCCTATGCACAAAATCTATTATCCAGCACTTTTTAAGTAGAATGGTGGGAGCAAGGAGCTCTGCCAGTGAATCTGCCCAGCTGAGAGGCAGAGCAAGCTCCCACCTGACAGACCAGAGCTCTGCAAGGGCTCCTTCATCTCCAGACCTCAGGCTGGGCACATTTGAACCAATTCTGCTTCTCTCTTATTCTGGGCTTCGCATCCCCATGGAAGTCCAGGGGTTTCTAAATCAGATATTTCTCTGTCCTCTACATCACCTGCAGAAAGTGCTGCCTCAGGTAAATTGGAAAGGACCTGGGGTGTGTGCAGGAGTCCCTCCCAGTCTCCCAGGTGAGGCTCAGGCATCCAGACTCCTCCCTTCTGCTGCTCAGGAGTGGGACTGGCCCTGAGCCTGTCACTGGCACAGGGCAGAGCTGTCAGCCCTGGGGTGTGTGCGAGCCACACCCAGAGCTGTGCACACCTGGAAAAATATTCCTGCCCATCCATACCCCAGCTGGAGGGTTGGAAAAGGGCTGGGCAAGCAGCTGGAATATTCATAGAAATCTATTTCATAGGAAATAACTCTGCCAACGAACAAGCTGGTGGCAGAAAGGACAAAGCCTGACAGCAGGTCAGTACCAGCACGGGAAGGAGCCACCCTGACCTCCCATTGTTGACATCTGGGGAAAAGAAAATGACTCGTGGAGGGGAAAACACTCAGGGTAAATACCTGAGGGTGGGCTGGGGAGGGAGATGGGGCTCCGAGCTGTCCCCAGGCCATGCCCTGACCCATTCCCCATCCCAGGTGGGGCAGGCACCTCTCTGCAGGTGCTCTGTGGACACAGCAAAGACTTACACGAGGCACTGAGCTGCTGTCATCACCCAGCCAGGAGCCACCAGGAAGCCTCCACAGGACTGGTTGTCCTTCCCCTGCAGAAAGGCCATGTAGGGTGTGGGGTGTGTCCTGGAGGGTGCCTTGGCTTCTCCTCCTCTCTCCCTCCACTTCCAGGGATAATCTGCAATGGATGGGGCTGAGGATGAGGTTTTTGGAGGGCCCAGGCTGAGATTCATCCTTCCCCAACCCTCTCCTCTCCTCACCTCCAGCCCACCCTACTTACTGCTGCTGGCTGGGGGGCACATCACCAGCAGGAGGGGCAGCAGGAGGGTCTGCAGGTGCTCCATCACAGCCTTCTGTGGATCCCTGAGAGGTGAGGCTGCCTCTGGGGTCTCATCCTGCTCCCAGCGAGGTTTTATAGCCCCACACCAGACTCCAGGAAACCACAGAAGTCAGACTCATCTGAAGAATCTCTCCACAAGTTGCACATCTCAGCAATGTGAGAGGGGAATTCAGGCAGTCTTGGCTTTGGGCATCAACCCACCTCCATCATGGGTCTGATCTGAGAAATCTGACGTCCTTCTAAACCCAGAGCCAATTTTAGAACTTCAGGTTTGTTCTGGAAGGTGTGGGCAGTGAACCCACCCTCACCTCTTCGACTTCCAGTGAGCTCTTCCATTGCAGCTTCTACTCTTGCAAACTCTCTTGATTTTTATCACGAGCCCCACATGAACAAGATTTCTTTCACCTGATACATCAGCTCCAAAGGCCGTGCAGGAGCAGGTGAGGACCCTCCTGCTCTCCCTTGGTAGCTAGTGGGGCAAAAATGGTCATGAATGTGTTTATTACATGGCACTGATGGTACTGGGAATAAATCCTTCCCTGGGAGGGGCTGGGATGGAATTCCCAGAGCAGCTGTGGCTGCCCCTGGATCCCTGGCAGTGCCCAAGCCAGGCTGGACAGGGCTTGGAGCAGCCTGGGATGGTGGGAAGTGTCCCTGCCATGGCAGGGGTGGGATGGGATGATCCCTAAGGGCCCTTCCAGCCCAAACCACTCTGGGATTTTACAGTAAGAGCAAACCTGGAACATTCACGGCTCACCTGTGACGAAACGGGGCCGACGCTTCCTTGCTGCCCTCACTGCCAGTAAATCTTCTTTCCCCTCTGCCTCCAGAGCCAACTGGGTAAACCCCAATTTTCAGCTACAATTTACCATTCTCGTGCAAAGCCTGCAGCAGCTGGAGCTTCAAGGAAAAGCCTGACGTGACAAAGATTGACAGTGCACAGATAAGCAGCTGCAGCCTGTTCACTTGCAGATTTCTGAGGCGATAGCAGCTGTGAGCAGCAGCCCAAACACGGACCCTTCTCAGCTTCCCCAGGGCTGCCTGCGTGCTGGGGGCAGACGTGACTCAGTTTCCCTCCATCCCAGGCAAGAGCATGGATTTGTGAGCAGAAATCCAGGCTGGGCTGTGGAAACCTCCTTCCTCTTCCTCCTCTTTTCCATGGGAAAAGCCATGAGAGCCCCTTTCCCCTGGACTGCAGAAGTTTTTGTGTGTTTAAAATTCCCCGCTGGTTTTTCCCACCACAAACCAACTCAGCCTCCTCCTGACATCACAGACATCCTCACCCCTGCCAGGGACTTCTGCACTCACTCATTCACCAGAGATAATTGTTGGAATGCTAATTGTGGAAATTTTTTTTGTTTTTTGGTTAGGATATGTAGTAATAATTGAATGAGTATTATGGTTATTAAGGTTAAATCGTTGTTGTAAAGTTTGAATATTTTGATGGTAAAATTGATGTGATAAGATAGTCTGTTGTTTGTGGTTAGGAATTGCTAAGGTAATGTTAGTGATAAGAGTATTAGTTATAGTACTTTTTTGTGAAAAATTTTGGAAGTGTGATTGTGAATATATCAGTGAATCTGCCCAGCTAAGAGGCAGAGCAAGCTCCCACATGACAGAGCTCTGCAAGGTCTCCTTCATCTCAGCCCAAAATTAATAAATATAAAATATGATTTATTGTGTTGTTGAATTGTATTTTATAATTTTAGTAATATATTGAATAAAGGTTGGGGATTTAATTTTTTTTTTTAAATTATTTTATTATTTTATTTAATCTCTGTCCCCATCATCTCCCCCTGGGAACTCTTGGCTCTCTCTGTCCTCAAGAGATGCCACCAGAAAAGAGCTGGAATGAAGGAGATGAGGGCTGAGGGTGCAGGCCATGGAAGGAAGTTCAAACTCTGTTGCCTTGTTCTTTTGAGAGTTTTAAAATTCTTCTAAAAGTTCTTATGCTTTTTGATATTTACATATTTTAGCTGAGCTTGCTTACACACTGTTTATATAAATAATGATTGTTTTGTATTTCTTTTTGTGGGTGGAGAGAATTGACGGACTGTTGGTTTGACCAGTGTAGTTGGAGAAGTAAAATTTCACCCTCCAATCCACTGCCATTTTTGCTATTGTATCTATAGTGGAGTTAGAAAGTAAAGTTTGCTTTTTTGAGTTATTTTTCTTTCCTTTTACATCTAGTTATTTCATGTCGCAGCGTGACAAGTCTCTGATGCGGGAGCTGTCTGAAAACAGCCCTCGAGCATCCTTAGTGGGGAGAACTTATCCTTGGGCGTCATCCAGCTGAAGGGAGAGGTTTGAGCAACCTCTGGCCAGGGGGTGAGGATGTGCCCAGCAGCTCCCCAGCAGCCAGGAGTGCTCCTCACCTTCTCCAGGGCCCCAGCTGGGCCCTGCAGCTACCAGGGAGGAGAGGAGGAAGTGGCTTGGGGTCAGGGATTCTGTGAATCCTCCACCAACCCTTTCAGGTCCTTCACCAACCCTTTCAGTTCAAGCCTTTCTGTGTTTCTCCCCAGGACACGGTGCAGAAATGGGGATGGATTCTGGCAACAGGCAAAGCTGGAAGCTGTGGGTGTGTGACACTGGGATTTGGGGTGTGCCATCTCTCCAGGATCCTAAAGCTCTGAGCCTGGTGTCCCAACAGCCACCAGCCTACACCCAAGGGCACAGCCCACAGAAAGTCCAGCTCCCTCCACCCAGCTCAGAGGGCTGCAGGATTGTCGGAATCTGTGGTATTGATGATCCCGAGATTGTAAAAGTCTCTGTCTTTCTGCCCCGCTGCCAAAGCAGAAGCCATAATTCGTCTGTGCTGGTTTCAAGGCTGTTTATTCTGTTTATCTCTAACATGTTCTGCTGCCCTGCCGCAGCTCTGTCCTGCAGGGCAGCGTGTGGGGCTCTGCCCTCAGTGGGATGGTACAAACATTAAATACCACAAACTACCTGTGCTGGATTTACAATAACGTGCCAATATCTGTCACCTACGTTGGACAGTGTGTCCCCAGCCTGAACCAACAGAAAAATGCCAACACCACAGTGAAACATGGAGGGCATGAAGAAGGAGAAAAAGGACAAGGCACACCCAATTTCCTCCATCTTGTCCCCTTTGGACCCCTTATCTAGAATCCTAAAATTTTACTTTTGCACCCGTGCCACACTTAATTATTACTCATATCAAACACTCAAAGCTTGTAATTCATCCTGTAAGATTGAAAACTCTTTTCCATGGGCAGAGATCACAGACAGTGTCTCTGGGGGCTCTGTCCAGGGGGGTTCCTGACCCCTGCCAGGGTCCCAGCCCTGCCAGGGCAGCCAGAGGGAAGCCCTGGATTCCCACACAGGATCAGCCTGGTGTGCCCTGTGCCCCAGGGTGCAACACCTCAGAGGGAACAGCCTTTACTCTGAGAACAACCCTTTGGAGTCCTGGCGCTGCTGGTGCCCCTCAGCCCTGCTGCCTGTGCTCCCAGGAGGGTGGCAGCCCAGGAATTTGGTGTGTGGGAGTGTGTGCCCATCATTTTCCCATTGCTGCCTGGGCGGTTTTTCTCCTCACAGCGCACTCCTCATCCCTGTGAGCCCAGGCAGGGCAAGCACAGCTCTTGTTTCTGAGCCTGCAGGGCTGTGGTTGCTGCTGTCCCAGCAGCCTCTCAGGTGCAGCAGCCAGACCCTCCCTCCTGTTAAATGGGATTTAACATTTCTCTCCCACGAGAAACACAAACACACGCTGGGAGGTGCAGCTTTGAGTTTACTTCAAGTGCAGCAGGGCTCAAGCAGGAACAGGGTTATCTCTGAAGGAAGTGGGGTTTGCTGTGGCACAGCCTCTCTTTGTGCCAGCTGGAGCTACCCCTGCCTCTGCCAGGGGGTTTAGCACAGCCCTGAGACAGGAATGGGACAGGAGGACTCAGAACAGAGTGAAGGGCGCTCCCAAGTGCACTGATCCATCATTTGGGCTCCCAAGGAGAGAGGAGGGAGCTGAGCCTTCAGCAGGGGCAGGAAGGAAACTCTTGCAGGGTCCAGAGCCACACCAGAGCTGGAGAAAAATGCTGCCACTGCCACTACTTCTTCATGACTTTTTTGATCCAGGGCAGGTAGTTGGAGATGCGGGTGTACACCCCGGGTGGGGAGTCATAGCCAAAGGAAACAATGCCTTGTGCCACTTTATTGCACACCAGGGGCCCACCAGAATCTCCCTGGGGAAGAGATGAGATGGATTTGAGAGGTATTTGCTATCTCTTGGCCGTGGTAACAGATTTACTCCGATCCCTCCCTCCCTGGGGCTCCGTTCCTGCCCCATATCCCGCCCTGCTGAAGGGGCTGCTGAGCTGGGGTGGGCTCTGCCCCCCTGGGCAGGGTCTGGTGCTGGTGTCAGGACATCCAGAGAGCCACTCCTGCTGGGAACTGTGACCAAATGCTTGTCCCCTGCCCTGGGAGCTGCTCCTGCAGCAGCTCCTGCTCCCCGAGCAGCCCATGTGCCCTGGAACTAGGAACGGGAAAGTGGGAATGGAAACCTGGGAATGGGGATGAGAATGGGGATGGGAACTGAGAAGGGGAACTGGGAATGGGGAACTGGGACTAGAAATCTGGGAATGGAAAACTGGGAATGGGAATGGGGAAGTGGAAATGGGAACTGGGAATAGGAAACTGGGAATGGGGATGAGAATGGGGATGGGAACTGAGAAGGGGAACTGGGAATGGGAAACTGGTAATGGGGATAGGAATGGGGATGGGAATGGGGAAGTGGAAATGGGAACTGGGAATGGGGATGAGAATGGGAATGGGAACTGGGAATGGAAAACTGGGAATGGGAATGGGGATGGGAATGGGGATGGGAATGGGACCTTGGAATGGAAAACTGGGAATGGAAACCTGGGAATGGGGATGAGAATGGGGATGGAAAACTGGGAATGGAAAACTGGGAATGGAAAACTGGGAACAGGAATTGTGAATGTGAATCTGGGAATGGAAAAATGGGAATGGGGATGAGAACGGGGATGGGAACTGGGAATAAGAATGGGAATGGGAAACGAGGAATGGAAAACTGGGAATGGAAAACTTGGAAAAGGAACTAGGAATGTGGCCGTACCTGGCTGGAATCCTTCAGCTCGTGGAAGCTGCCTGCACAGACCATGCCAGAATCGAGGTGTGGGTAAAAAAGGGTGCATTTCCTGCGGCTGTAGATGGAGACTTTGGTCTCAAAGAGCTTGTTGGTGGTCCTGTCCTCGTCGATCAGGCCCCAGCCAGCAATCATGCACTTGGTGCCCGTGGGGAGGTCACTGCCCGCCCTGGGCAGGGGGATGGGCTGGATGTAGTCATTGACAGCGACCTTTGATGTCAGCTGAGGGATTGAGAGAGGGCTGTGAGCAGGATATTTGCTCTGCAGAGGCAGGGAGGGTCTAGCAGGCTCTGCAGAATGCTGTGAGAGCCTCATGGTGCTCCAAACCCTGCCCATGGCTCCTTCCCAGGTCCCTCCCAGCCCTGCCAGCCTCCAGCACCTTGGGCAGAAGCAGCTTTGCAGAAGGAGCCAGGAGGAGCCCTGCTCAGTCCCTGGTGGTCCCACAGCCCCTCTGCCCCCTCAGAACTCCTTGCCTGGAGCAGCATGATGTCGTTTTCCATCGTGCTGGGGTTGTACTCAGGGTGCTCGTGGTACTTGAGGACTCCCCGGACCTGCTGGGTTTTTTCTGGTTCGTGGATGTTGTGAGCCCCCAGGATGACTGTGATATTCCTGGCCGTGGCAGAAGGAGGGGGAAAGGGGAAATCGAGCTGGGTGTCACCCCCTCCCTCATTTTGGCAGGCAGGTGGAGAGAGCTGCCCAGCGCAGGAGGTACCTGCTCCAAAATTGCTGCGGGGAAGGAGCTCCCAGGCTAGGGGATGAAGAAAAGGATAAAACCCTTGTATCAATACTCACCCCATGCAGTGTGCAGCTGACATCACCCAGTTAGGGGCCACCAGGAAGCCCCCACAGCCCCCCATGTCTGCCAACTTGAGGTACGCCATGTAGGGGTGCGAGTGGGGCCGCGCCTCGTGGCCCCCCACAATCTGACCCCGCAGAGAACCTGCAAGAAACCCCAGCACAGCGTGAGCCAGGGGCTGCTGAGACCCCCAAAAGAGGCTCCCAGCAAAGGCCAGACTCACTGGCACTGGCCCAGGGGCAGCAGAGCAGGAGCAGCAAGGCTGGCAGTGGCTGGGGCTGGCACATCTCTGCCACGGCTGGATGCCCAGTGGTGTCAAGTCTTGAGTTTCCCCGTGGCCAGGGTTTTATGGGTTTTATAGCCTGCAGGCAGCTGTGCCCAGCAGCCAGGAAACCATGTGCAAAGGGCTGATTGGGCTAATCGGGGCATCGCTGGCCTGGCCTGGGATTGATGGGCAATTGATAGCCCAGGGTGGAAAGGACAGGGCAGTCACAGCCTCAAAGGGTGTTGGAAGCAAGAGAGAGGTGTCCTGTGGTGGTTTTGAGGTGTGATTTAACATTTTCCCCCTCACTTTTTGTTGAATGTTTTTGCCTTGAGGAAATGTAAGGTTCTAAAAAAAAAAAAAAAAAAAGCCACTTAAAAAAAAAAAACCAAACATAAAAACTTGGTCATTTAAAGTCATGAATGTGGTCTGGAGGAGACAATCCTGAGGCTTGCTCTTTCATATTCTTGTTTTCCTTCAAGAGATGCACTGCAGAACCTCTTTTTCTACAGAGATCCACCACACCACCACGCAATTTAAATGAAAGGGCACAACAACTGTGCCTGGGATGGTTTTTGAGCACTGTGAAAAGTCAAATATGCAGGGTTTGGTGTCAGCCCAGGTCAGAGGGACCTTCCTGGCTCTTCTTGGCTCCTCTGGGGCCAGAAGCATCCTGCCAACTTGGGGACTGGGATGTAGGAAGTGCTGCTCTTGAGCAGAAGAGACCAAAGCGGGGAAGTGCAACCACCCAGCTGCCAGGAGTGATCAGTCATTTTTAAACCAAACCTGCTCCACCCTTCCTGGAGCAGAAAAACACCTGCAAGTGGATGCCTTGGGCTGTGCTGGGGCCATGCAGAGGGGACAGGATGGGTGCATGGGGAGGGAGAGATGTGGATACCTGATGTCCATGAGCCAGCCTGGGGGCTGCCTGCCACAGAGTTTCCACAGAGCTGAACCCGTGTTTTGGTTTTTTAAATCAGAATATCTGAAAGCACAAGCTTTAATCAGGACTTTGCAGCAGCACAGCAGGAAAACCTCAAGAGGAATCATCGATATTTTATCTTGTGTTTGTAACTTGTTGTCTTTCCCCTGCAGCTGCTTGTGGCCCCCCAAAATGTGTGGCTGGAAATCCTCCTGGGAGCAGCGCCCCAGGACAGGAGGGACTGGGCATGGACACAGGGAGATGAGCTCCAGGCTGCTGCTCTCCTGCTCCTCTCACTGCAGACAAGCTCCTCTCTCTGTGGCCAAGATATTTTGGCTTCTTGTTGACCTCTGGAGGGTTCCAGGGCTTCTCTGAGGTGCCTCATCTCAGCATCCATCAATATCTGCTTTAGGCATGGAACTGGAGCAGGGCCACAGGTCCCAGCTGCCTGCCCTGGGCCTTCCCAGCCCAGCACTCAGAGCCATCAGGCATTTTGGGCAGATTTGGGCTCTGATCTGAAGGGAAGAGATGAGAAATGCTGCAGGAGGGGGCGTCCCTCCCCTGCCCCACTTGGCTTCAAGGAAAGATCTGAACTGGGATGGCAGCAAAGGAGAAGGGCCAAGATCCAGCTCAGGCTGTGACTGTTCAGAGGGCAATGGGGACAAGGCAGAGCAGGAATTCTTCCTCATGTGGGGGCTCAGGCAAGAAGAGCCCCATTAGTCATGGAAGGGCATTTTTTAGGAAGATCTTTCAATGTTTTGCTGGTCCAGAGAACCTAAACACCAAAGGTGAGGGGGTCAAGCTGTCCCAGCAGCTCATCTGCCTGGAGCCCTCCTGCCCTCAGAAGGGTTTGCCTGCCCCAGCCCCATCCTCTCCACAGATCTCTCTGCTGTCAGGAATCCCTGAGACTCCTCACACATTGCCAGCTCTTGGAGAAGCTACTTAGAGCACCTGACAAGGCAAGTTTCTCCATCCTCTGATCTTTCAGGAACATTCTACTGTTGGACAATGCCCTTTTCCTGACTCAGAGATAACCCAGAGACCCAGAACTTTCTATCAGTCCCTAAAAACTCTCTACAAATCCACCACTTCTGTCCTGAACAGACACATGAGCTGGAAGGGGTGATGTGCCAGGTCACACTGAGCCTTTGGGTGCCAGTGCTCTGTGGGCATCAGCCCAGGGGGTTTGGGAGCCAGCTGGTGGTGCTGAACGTGCAGCCCTGCACTCGTGGCCCAGCTTTCCTGCTGATTTCCGCTCCTTCAATCTCGGGGTCATCTGCTGACCTTATCAGCGTGAGTTTCTTTCCATGCTGCTGACAGAAAAGGCTAAAACCTCAGCTGAAAGGGTGAAGGTGGAGGATGGAGCCCTCTGCTTTCGATGTGAACCATTCTTGCTTGCACATGGCTTCCTGCAGGAGCCTCCTTTGCATTTTCTGCGTGTCCGTGCTGCCATCCAGGCTGGGATCAATCCCTGCAGGGATGGATGGGCTCCCTGCTCGCTGCTCTTTGCTCTCAGCCTGGGGACATCTCCGTGGCTTCCTGCCAGCCCGGAGTGAGAGCACAGGTACAGCCCAGGGCACAGCTTCTGCTGAGATCCTGACTTAAAAGGTGCTCTGCTTTTCTTTTATCTCTGCCACTCTGCAGATGATTTGGGTGGGGTCCACCCTGCACTGAAATGTGGTTGATGTTGCAACTTCCCCTTTTTTCACTGTGGTGGGTAGAAGCCTCACTTATTTTGCACAAGGAGCTGTCCCCACTACCTGCGCCGTGCTGGGCCTCAGACCAAGAGCTGGGGAGCACTGCTGATCCTCCCTGGGGCACCAAGAGCCTCCCACAAGCCATGCCAGGTGAGTCCTAGGGCAAATTCCCAGCCACTGCTGGGAATGGCATGTTCCAAGGCTCTCCTGTTGAGTTTTGCAAACATAAGGAATTAACATTTCAGCCATGCTCTCGTTCCTTGGTTCTGGTCTCAGCCCCTTGTGCCTCCTCAAAGGTGAGAAGCAGCAGCTCTCTGCCTCCTTGCCTGCCTGTGGGAAGATCCTGACCCATCTCTAGCAGGTGCTTGGTGGGTTGAAGGCGTAGCTGCAGTGCCAGGGCACGTGCCCAGCTTGGAGCAGCTGGTTTCCTTTGGAGTGGAGGGGCTGAGGCTCAGCTGGAGCCCCACAGGCGCCAGGAGCTGCTGCACAGACAGGGATGGATGTGTCTGGATGTGTCTGAGAGAGTGGCAGGAGCTGGGCCTGGGGATCTTCCCCCTGAAGAAGGAAGAGGGATGGTCTGAGCATGGGTGGTGCACAGGGCAGCTGAGGAAGAGGGAGTAGCTCTCTGCCAGGCTCAGGGGTGGACAGAGTACCACAGCAGGCAAAGCACTTTGTGTCTCAAGCTGTCTGGGTGTTTTTACCAGCGCTTGGAGCTGTTCAGCCCAACCATGCCCCACCCATCAAGGTGTTGTCCTGTTTCACACTGCCTGCTCCAACCCAGAGAGGGCCCTGGCACGTTTCTTCATTCATGCCACACCTTCACAACCACAGCAAAGCTGAGAATAACCAGACCCTTATCAGAAATGAAGACAGCTGTTAGAAGACATGTCAATACTGTCAGTCACAACAGGAAACTTTATTAAACAACAGGAAGCCCATGCTCATGGGTGGACTTACAAAACACCTCACCCTCCTCTCCCCTCGCTCTTTCAGTGTCGCAGGGCTGGCAGACAGGGCTCTGACTCTCACCTCCACTGAGCAGGGCTGGGTTCAGCCTCACAGCTGCTCCAGCTCTCCAACAGAGGATCTGCTCTGCCCCAAGCCCCACCTGACCCCTTCCTCCATCGAGCATCCCCTGCCTGCTGACCCAGGCTCAGAAGATGGCAGCTTCAATGCTGAGCTTGCTGGTGAATCGCTCCCTCCTCCTTCCCCTGGACTCCACTCAACTGCTCGGCACAAAAGCCTCCTGCCTGCAGCTGGTGGCCACGAGGAACGTGAACATCATCCTGCAGCACTACAACTTCTCGGGCAAGCTGACCAACCGGCACTCCGGCGACGAGGGCATGGGGCTGGTGCGCACGGCCTTCGCCATCATCAGCTGCCTGATCATCCTGGAGAACCTGCTGGTGCTGCTGGCCGTGCTGCGCTGCCTGCGGGGCCGGCGCTGGGTCTACTCCTGCATCGCCAGCATCACCCTCAGCGACCTGCTGGCGGGCGTCGCCTACCTCTGCAACCTCCTCCTGTCGGGCAGCAAGACCTTCCAGCTGTCCCCGCAGCTCTGGTTCCTGCGGGAGGGCATCCTCTTCGTCGCCTTGGCCGCCTCCACCTTCAGCCTGCTGGTGACGGCCGTGGAGCGCTACGGTGCCATGGTGAGGCCCATCGCGGAGAACGAGGCCAGCAAGACGCTGCGGCTGCGCGGCCTCATCGTGGCCTGCTGGCTGCTGGCCCTCGTCATCGGGCTGCTCCCGCTGCTGGGCTGGAACTGCCTCTGCGACTTCCAGGCCTGCTCCGTGCTCCTGCCTCTCTACTCCAAGAACTACATCCTCTTCTCTGTGGTTATGTTCAGCATCATCCTCCTGGGCATCATCGGTTTCTACATCTCCATCTTCCACCTGGTGCAGGCCAGCTCCAAGCAAAGCAGCTCCCGGCACGGCCGCAAGCGCTCCTTGCGCTTGCTGAAGACGGTGCTGATGATCCTGGGGGCCTTCATCCTCTGCTGGAGCCCCCTCTTCGTCCTGCTGCTCTTGGACGTGTTCTGTGACACCGGAGCCTGCAGCCACCTGCACAGCCTGGACTGGACCCTGGCTCTGGCCCTGCTCAACTCGGGGGTCAATCCCGTCATTTATTCCCTGCGCAGCGTGGAGGTTCGCCGTGCCGTGGGGAGCCTGCTGTGCTGCTGCTGCCTCAGGGCCGGGCTCTGCAGGCCTGGCAGCTGCGTGGCCATCTCGGACATCAACTCTGGCTCCTCCACGGAGAGCTCCCTGCGCTACCGCGACAGCTTCCGCGGCCCCGCCGCGCGCAACGCTCGGCCCAGGGCGCCTCTCTCCAGCAACTCCAGCATGATGAGCAACCTGCCCAGTCTGTGAGGGGCCACCGGGAGAAGCAGAGGTGCCAGGCAGCCCCCAGGAGCTCATGGTGCTGCTCCTGGCCTGGCAGCGCTGTGGCACTGAGCAGTTGTGAACTGGGCCGGGCTCTGCAGTCCCATCAGACCGGGATGGTGCCTCCGTGTGGGTGCAGCACAGGGACAGGAGCTGCTCCTAGGCTGGGAGTGAAGGAACAAACACATTTTGGGTTTGGTGCTCTGCTGGGACAGCTGCAGTGCTCGGGTTCTGTGTGTGAGCTTTGGTTGAGCAGAGGTGCTGTAGCTGCCCACCTGAGAGTGTTTTGCACCAGGGCACACTGGCAAATACAGTGGATTTCCCCAACCAGGCAGCCCTTCCAAATCTTTGGAATACTTTTGGACCTTCTATGATGACTTTGGAATACTTTTGGACCTTCTGTGATGAGCACAGCCACTGGGAAGGAATGCAAGCTTGATGTCCTGCCCAGCCCAAGGACAGCAGAGGGCTGCAGCCACAGCCCAGACCCTCCCTCAGGGGTGCAGAGGCTGGGCACTGAGCCAGGGCAATGCTGTGACCGTGCTCAGAGCTGCAGTGACAGGGCTGGCACTAACACGGGCAGAAGGAGGTACCCAGAGAGATCAGGGAGCCTGAAGACACGGCCAGCTTGTGCCTCAGATCCCTGCTCTTCTGTTCTCCCATGCAGGGAATAATCAGAGCAGCACCCAAATGCTTCCTCTCACTGTGCCAGAAGGGCACTGAAGCGCTGGGGACTCAGATAAATCCTGCTGGCCCAGCCCCTCTGCAGGAGCTGAGCGTGCAGCCCGTTTGTTTCGCAATAAATCAAGGTGATCAGAAAGCCTTGGGTTGATTTGCTTCGATTTTTTCCCTCTAGAGGCCAGGTACTGCCTGGGGGATGTTTTTGTAGTCTGGGGACAGCCAGAGCTGCCCTCCTGTTCTCGGGACAGGGGGATCACCCTGCTCAGGGGGGGCAGCAGGAGCCTCCTGCCTGGTCCTGTTCATCCCATCCCATGGATCCCACCCCATCCCATGGATCCCATGGATCCCATCCCATCCCATCCCATGGATCCCATCCTGTCCCATGGATCCCATCCCATCCTATCCCATCCCATGGATCCTGTCCCATCCCATCCTGTCCCATCCCATGGATCCCATCCCATCCCATGGATCCCATCCTGTCCCGTGGATCCCATCCCATCCTATCCCATCCCATGGATCCCATCCCAACCTATCCCATCCCATGAATCCTGTCCCATCCCATCCCATCCCATGGATCCCATCCCATCCCATCCCATGGATCCTATCCCATCCCATCCCATCCTGTCCCATGGATCCCCTCCCATCCCATCCCATGGATCCCATCCCATGGATCCTGTCCCATCCTATCCTGTCCCATGGATCCCATCCCATGCCATCCTATGGATCCCATGCCATGAATCCCATGCCATGCCATGCCATGGATCCTGTCCCATCCGATCCAATGGATCCCATCCCATGGATTCCATTATCCCATCCCATGGATTCCATTATCCTATCCCATCCCATTTTCCCATTATCCCATCCCATCCTATGGATCCCATCCCATGGATGCTGTCCCATCCCATCCCATGGATTCCATTACCCCATCCCATCCTATAGATCCCATTCTATAGATCCCATTATCCCATTATCCCATTAGTTATCCCATTATCCCGTTATCCCATCCGCTGGGGGGCGCTCGGGAGCGCAGCCCGCGCAGAGCGCGCCCCCTGCAGGCCAAGGCGGGGCGGTACCGCGGCCATCACTCTCTGCCGCGACTACAACTCCCAGCGGCCCTGGCGGCGGGCGAACTACGGGTCCCGGCGTGCGGCGCGGAGCGCGCCGTGCGTGCCGAGCAGGCCGCGGTGCGGGCCGGGGCCGCGGCGATGCTGGAGGAGGCGGGCGAGGTGCTGGAGTCGGTGCTGAAGGCCTCGTGCCTCCCGCTCAGCGTCCTGCTCTTCGTGCCCGCCGTGCTGCTGCTCCTGGGGCCGCCGCCCGCCGCCGAGGCGGCGCACGAGTTCACGGTGTACCGCATGCAGCAGTACGAGCTGGGCGGGCAGCCCTACGGTGAGGGACGGCGCGGCCCGGCCGGGCTGGGCGCCGCCGGCAGCGGCTCCTGCGGGTGGTGCGGCCGTGGGAAGGGAGCCCCGAGGCCGGGGAGCAGCCCAGGGCAGCCCCCACGGAGAGAGGCCGTGGGTGGGCGCGGGGGGCTCGGGGGGCGGCAGCAGCCGGGCCCGGGGCCAGGCCCGGCCGCAGGACGGTCCCACCGGCTGGGTCACTTCCCGGGCTCAGCACCAGCAGGAGAGGGGCTGGGAGCGCCATCGCGGTGACTACAGGTAGCCAAGGAGCCCTGTCTGTGGGCTGAGGGCTCTGTGTTTTGGGGGTCCAGCTGCGTCCCTCCTGCATTCTGCTAAGCTCGGTTGTGAGCTCGGTTTTGTCCTTTTGCCTTTGACTCCTTTATTGATTCCTCTTCGCTCTTCATCTTCATCCTCAGCTCTGTGTTGCTCCAGTGGGTCCATTTCAGAGCCTGTCCTCGCCCTGTGTTACAGCTGACCTTTACTTCCTCCGTTCTCTCCCTTGCAGCCTGCTGATTGTGCAACACCTTTCTTCGGGTCAGAGACACACCCTGTTCTGCGAGTCCTTGAGGTGCTGCAGCCCTCAGCCTCCTCCCCCGTGTGCCCACAAACCCAGAGTCAAGGCTTGTTTCTGGGTCTTCTGTAGAGATTTTATTCCAGGCCAGGGCATGTGCTGTGTCTGTGAGTGACTCTTCCTGTAGAGTTAGCAATGAACAGCCTCACGTTTAATTTGTGCTGTCCATGAGACACCAGCCTTCATTCTTTCAGATCTTAATAAGTTCAAGTATATAAGTTATGAAATGCAGCTGTGCCCGTGTACTTCTTAAACGCTTCAGGCTTCTGCTGGCTTCTAAATAAATGAAATTATTTCTGGGTTCTTCCATCACAGTTTCTCAGAACGTGTCCACATCTTGAGGGCTCTGCTGCTGACAGCCTCAGGAGCTCCCAGGCAGGCTCTGCATGGGGGTAGGACTCTCTGTCTTTCCTTGGGAGCTGTTTGTTGACAGGCTTAGCAGGGATGTGATTTGTCTTTGCTTGCCCGAGTGTCCCCTCTACCCAAGTGCTCACAATTTTGTCACCTCTTGAAATCCAGGTGTTATTTTTTTTTTTAAGATACTTTCAATTAACTTTTTCTGCTGTTTCTTTTCCTGGAGTCTTTTAGCTCGTTGGGCTGTGTGTCTCCTTTGTTCCTTCCTGCTCCCTTTGGGTAGCTGCTCTTCCTGTTCCTTGTGTGTTCTGAGATGTCCTTCAGGATAAAAGCTCTATTTCAGAGCAGTCTGAGTTGGAAGGGACCCACAAGAAGCACCGAGTCCAACTCTCAAAGGGAATGACCAAACCCATAACCTTGGTGTTATTAGCACCAAGCTCTGACCAACTGAGTTGATTTGTGGTTTCAGATTCTCATATTCTTTTCCAAAAATACCAAGTAACAGGTTGCTGCTCAGCCTCTTCTTGCAGAGGGAAGATTTTTTTTTTGTCAGCATCACTTACAGAGCAATTTAGGAACAAGCTTGGACTTCCTCTAATACTGATAGAATGAGAATTCTTTAGTTTGCAAATGAGTGGTTATTAACCAGCTCTCTGTAGAGAAACTGCAGAAAATAAACCTGTCAGGAAAATACTGTTGTGTCTGCTCTGCTTAGATGTCAGAGAGAGCAGAACCTCAGGTGCACACATTGCTGTGTTTACACATCATTCCTTTGGAAATGGTGGGGGGGATTATCCTCATTTTGAGTTGTTTTTCTCTGGTTGGAGAGGGGGTGCTGTTAATGTTTTTTTGTGTAGTGTCAGAGGTCTGTGGGGAGAATTCACATTGTGCCTGGCCTCTGTTTCTGGGGGTGTGGCCCTCACTGATACTGTGCAGGGGAAATGCAGATTTTTCTTGTTTAGGTGTTTATGTGACCTTTGACAAGACCAAACTAATGTCAGAGTTAAGCTAAGCCAGGTTTAAATCTAGTTCTTAGCAATGCTCCTGTTTGACAGAGACCACCTTGTCTGTCCCTGTGTGGGGACCCAGAAGGATGAGCCCTCCAGTGGAGGTGCCAGAGTTATAGAAGAAGAAATTGAATTATAAACTGTAAGGTGGATTTGTAAGCTCCTCTCTATTTGCACAAGATGTCCTTTTGACCCTCCCTTGCCAGGAGCTTCTGGCAAGCCTGCTGTGCTCCCAGGGGATTGCATTTCCATGTGGGGGATTTGATCTGCTGGAACTGAGAGAAGGAGAGGGCGATCCCTCAGGAGCAGCCTGCTCCTCTGGAACTCTGCCAGCTACAGAACCTTCCTTGGGGCTGAGTGGGAGCAGCCCTTGGGGTGACATGGGGCAGTCTGGTGTCCCTGGGGTGACGTGGGGCAGTCTGGTGTCCCTGGGGTGACTTGGGGCAGTGTAGTGGCTTCGGGGTGACATGGGGCAGTGTGGTGTCCTTTCATCAGGGGCTTCTGCACAGCTTGATCCTCCAGCTGGGAGAGGCTCTGGAGAGGCCAGGCTGTGTCCAGGTGTGTTGGTAATTAGGTGCAGGTGAGCAGACAGGTGAGGAGGAAGACTGGGTGGTGAGGCTGTGGGGTGTGGAACAAGGCAGGTCTGGCAGGAGGAAGGCTGGCAGGCGAGGCTGTGGAGTGTGGAACAAGGGAGAAGGTGGAAGGTGAGGCTGGCAGGTGAAGTTGTGGGGTGTGGAAGAAGGGGTGGTCTGGCAGGATGTAGGCTGGAAGGTGAGTCTGTGGAACAATGGGGGTCTGGGAGGATGTAGGCTGTGGGGTGAGGCTGTGGGGTGTGGAACAAGGGGTGTTTGGCAGGAGGAAGGCTGGAAGATGAGGCTGTGGGGTGTGGAACAAGGCAGGTCTGGCAGGATGTGGCTGCACAGGAAAACCCACAGACCTCTGCTCCTTCTCGGACGAGGACAAAGAGGCGAACTCTGCTTTCTGCACCTTCTGGCCACTCTGCAGCCCATCAGACTGTCCCCAGGAGTGTTCTGAGCAGGAGGCAGGCTGGAACAAGGGGAATAGGGTGCAGTGCCTTAGCAGCCCTCTCGCTTTCCCTGCTGGCAGGCACCAGGAGCGCCGTGCTGAACACGGAGGCGCGCACCGTGGAAGCGGATGTGCTGAGCCGCCGCTGTGTCATGATGAGGCTGGTGGACTTCTCCTACGAGCAGTACCAGAAGGCTCTGCGCCAGTCAGCCGGGGCTGTGGTGATCATCCTGCCACGATCCATCTCCTCTGTCCCCCAGGATGTCGTGCGGGTAAACAGAAAAGTTTTCTTTCCCTTCCCGTGGGAGGTGTACTGGAGAAAAGCTTGGTTGCTGCAGGGCTGGAAGATTCTGTTGTAACACAACAACAAATCGTATTCTAATTTTAAAACTTCTTTCTGCTTTGGTTGTTGATTTTTTTCTTGACACTTCTCATGTTTAGCAGATGCTAAGTTTGTGTCTCACTTAAATCTTCAGCAATTCATGGAGATAGAGCCAGAAATGCTTGCTATGGAAACCATTGTGCCAGTCTACTTTGCAGTGGAAGATGAGGAGCTGCTGTCTATCTATGAACAAACACGGGCTGCTTCTGCATCACAGGGTTCTGCCTCAGCTGCAGAAGGTGAGTTCAAACAAGGAGGAAAAAGTTTTGAGGAAGACAGGCCTGTTCCCACCTCTGGGAGGAGTCTGCAGTGTCATCTGCACCATGAACAAGTTCTGTCGCCTTTGTGTTTATTCTGTCATTGTCAAAGTGTTTAGAGATTCACTGGAAGAAAAGCACAGTG